GGCATCCTTAGGGCCTGGAGGGCAAGTGGATATGCAACAAAACTTTCTTAATAATAAACTGAAGAAAATATCTGCTTATTTTGGGGACCTGATCTGAAGTCCAGCCTCTGAATCATAACTGTAAAGTGATACAGGGACAAAAATATGATTTAATGGTTATTGGGATGAGGCTTTTGGAGTTTCTTTCTGTATTCACTGATATATTGTACCCAGAGTCTTATACCACCATATAAAATGGAAACTTATAGGTTATTATTATATATATATATTTTAAGCTGAGCCATCCTGCCACCGGTTGGCAGCTCAGCGGCTGCTCAGCTCAGGCCGGGAATCGAGCCGCTGTTGCTCAGAGCTCAAACTCTTGAGCGAGCTCTTAACCAACTGAGCCACTCGGCCGGCCCTTAGGAGATTAATGAGTATTAATGAAGTACTTTGAGATCTTAAGGTAATATTAAGTATGTGTATTGTACATTAGGATAGTACGTGTCTGATATGGAAAAGGTAGGTGTTCTCCTGTGCTTAGTGTTAGTCAACATGTGTGTGTATGTTATGTGTTTATGTCTGTATTTCTTTTTGAATTTTATATGTTTTGGTTTAACATCTTTGTGTGTATGTAAAAAACAATTGTGTTTTTTAATAGAGAGAGATACAAAGAAAATAATGAATGAGGTATAGTCTATCCATCCATTTAACACCATTTAAAATCAATAATGTTTTATCTTTAAGGGTAGAAACATAAACAGCACAGAATGGTACAAAATGAAAAGTAAAAGTCTCTCACATCCTTCCCCTATCCTTTATTAATCTATCTAATGATAAACACAGCTAACAATATTTTATAATTCCTTTGGAGGACAGAAAGGAATTGCAATAGACTGTAATACACTTCCATCCCCCCNCGTGAAGAATGAGGAGGAGCACAGTACGGGATGAGGCTGGAACCGTGAAGTGCCTTGTAGTTTGCACAAAAGAGTTTGTCTTCAGTCTAAGAGTAACCAAAGCCAATAGAGGAATCTAGGGGAGAAACCTTTATAACTAATTAGGTTTTTGTTTAAGAAGGAAAACTCTGACAACAGTGTGGAGAACAGACTTGTGGTGAGCCAGAGGATATAGATACAGTAATTAGGAGGCTAATTGCCATAGACTAGGCAATAGATGGTAGTAGCTTGGACCAGCGTTGTGGATGGGGAGAGGTGAATGGATTTAAGAGATGTTAGGAGGTAATATAGGCAGGATTTGGTAATGGAGTAAATGTGAGGTATGAGGGAGAAGGCAGCACTAACGACTCATAGGTTTCTGGATTATATAAATAAATGAATAGCACTGCATTACTGAATTGGGGGAACAAAAGAAAAAATCAGGTTTTGGGGGAGGCAGGTGTGTGGTGGAGAGGGAGGAGGAAAGATCATGAGTTCAGTTTGGGACATGTTGAATCTCAGGGTTTCAGATATCCTCAGGGAGATGTCACATTGGTGTAGAATGTGGAAAGCCAAGCTCAGATGAACAGTCTGTGTTAGCATCATGGATATATGTGTGAATCATCCGATTTTAAGTGGCATGGAGCCATGAATATGGATGCAATCACTTGGGAAAAACAGGTGGCCTAGGCTTAGGTCTTGAGAAACTTCAACCTCTCATGGAATGGCAGAGGCAGATGTGTTTGAAGAGATGCTAGCTTAAGGTATTAAAAAAAAAAATCCATGACAATGTGCTGGCCAGTGTGCTAGCCAGTGGAAGTGTTAGGGATACAAATATGGAGTTAACTGCTGCTGAGAAATTAGTTTGGGTGAGGACTGAAAAACTTCTAATGAACTTGACATGAAGGTCACTGTGAGCCTGAGGCAACAGCTATTTTGATAGAGTGATGGGACAGAAGCACATTAGGGTGGCAGGGGAAGTGAGAAGATGGTGAGCATGTGCATGGTCACCCCTGAAATTCGATTATGAAGAAAGGTATGGGGTAGCTTTTGACTTTGTCAAGTCTCTTTATTGTATGTATTCTATTTTATTAATCTCTTCATTCATCTCCTTCTATTTGGTTTCCTTTGGGTTTATCCTGTTTTTCTTTTTCTAACATAAGGTGGATTCTTAGCTTATCAAGTTTCCTGCTCTTCTTTTCCAAAGTAGACATTTAAAGTTCTAGATTTGCTTCTGCATGCCAACTTAGCTGCTTCATTCAAGTTCTGATACGTAGCATTTTTATTATCATAAGTGTTTTCTAAATTCCATTGTGATTCCTTCCTTTACCCACATGTTCGTGTTTTAAAATTTTTCAAATAAACTTTCACATGTTATTTTTGTTACTGAATTCAAACAATGCTTTTGGAGTGAGAGAATGCAGTTTATGAAATCCCAATTCTTCAAAATTTAACATTAATAGCTAACAGTCAACACTATATGCCAGGTACCTCCAAAGGTTTTATATAAATTATATAACTTTTAGTCCTCACAATGATTCTATGAGGTAGGTACTCTTATGATTCTCATTTTTATAAATGGGGAAAATAGGCACAGAGTAAATTTACCCAAGTAAATTTACAAAGTTACATACAGCTCATAAGTGATGGGGCCACACTTTTTTAGATTTCACTCTTGGAGTAAATTGCAAACAGTGCTCTGTACTTCTTTTGGGAGGGGGTATCAATTTCATTCAGGTGTAATGTATGTATATCATACTGCATGTGTTAAGGGTGTACAATTTGATGAGTTTTGTCATATGTATACAACCTGTGAAAACACCACAATCATCAAATACAGAATATTTCCACACCCACTAAATTTTATCCTGCCTCTTTGATGCATATCCTCTCTTCTGCCCCAGGTCCCAAGCAACTAGTGATCCATTTTTTGTGACTATAAATTAGTTTGCGTTTTTCTAAAATTTAATATAAATGCAATGACATAGTGTGAGCTCATTTTGTCTGGCTTCTTTCATTTTGCCTACTGATTTTTAGATTCATCCATGTGGTTGTGACTATTAGTAGTTTGTTCCTTCCTTTTACTGCCAAGTAGTACTCCTTTGTATGGATATACCATATTTTGTTTATCCATTTGCTTTTGATGGACATTTGGGTTAATTTCAATTTGGGGCTATTGTGAATAAAGCTATAAACATTCACACTCAAGTTTATGANTTGCAAAAATGCATCATGACTTTTCCGACAACCCAATATATATCTTAATCTGGGTCGTGGTAACATGAGTGTATCCATAGGTAAAATTTCACCTAGCTGTACACTTAAGATTTATGCTCTTTATGGTATATGCGATAGCTCAAGAAAAAAGTAAAAAGAGTGTTTAGCTACTTTATGAAATGCTCACCAACTATTTTACAGTGAATCATTAACATAATTTCGTAAGTCAAAATATATACAGGGAAAAGAAATTACCTGACCAGCATAAGGATTGCAAGTCACTTTCTGGTAAATTAGATATATATCTGAAGCTAGATTAAAAGCTTCAGTGATGAGAGAGGTCACCAGTAATCTATCAGAAAAGGTGTCAGGAAGAATATATGTATATAAGTTTAACTATAAAGGAGAGAAGTGTTATTAAAGCGTAAAAAGTAGAAGACCAGAACATCATCAAATCAGTGCCATGACGATGGCATGATTATTTATGATCACCCATGCTTATTTCTGCTTCTTGCTGTTTGAGTTTCTGTCATTGTACCGCTTTGACTTCCAAAGAATGGGAAAGGGAAAGAATTAAAGTTAAAGTTGTTACTTAATTTCAACTGTTGTTTTTAGTGTGCTAAAAAGCTGAAGTTATGTCTGGGTTTTAAAATGATGCATTCTACTTCCTATCTACTAAGGGAGAAGAGAGTTGGTTTATGTTTGCAGGAATATAAACTTAATCTGCCTCAAATGTTTTTAGTTTTGCTAATAACTATGTTAATTCTCATCACCTCCAAAAGCCTTTGAGAGGCTTAGCTGCAGGACCAATATTGCTCTATATTAGCCAGTATTAAGCGTATGATGTCACCTTGTTTCCTCCCCTACTCAAGCTATTTTTTTTGGAGGGGGAGGGGAGAGTGTGACTTTTTTGGGTAATTCTCAAAATTCTGTGGCTTAAATACCACTAGCTGACACACATGATTGACAACCTTACACTCCCAAACCTGTTTGAAATGGGTCAAATACCTAACGTTCGCAGAACAATGCAATCCAACCAGTAATTCCCCATAAAAGAGAAAGGGGGTGTGATTAGCTTCCAGCTATTAAGCAAGTTATTGCAAAAACAGTTTGGTGGTTTGTTTTCTGAAATAGGCACAGGCTAAACTAGTATTTTCTATCAGCTCAGAAAAATAAATAAAGACTAGGCAGTAAGAGGTAGGATAAATAGCCAAAGCGTGAAGCAACTGGGGCAAACGTTAAGGGCTTTATGGAGGGCTTTCTATTGACACTCGGCATCGGTTATTGATCATTAACCCTGCTGGGGAGCTATCGAACGGAATTTGTGTGAGGCTTATCGAGCCACAGGAAAGGAGATGCAGGAGGGAATATAAGCTTCTAATAAAAGAAACGCAGCAACAATAGCAGAGGAACAGCTCTGCCTGGTGACGTAATGGCTGGCAGCAGTCCAGCTTCAGCAGCGCTGCTGCTCCCTCAGCATCCAACCTCTCAACACAGTCCAGCTTCGGCAGAGCTACCGGGGCTGCTGCTACTTCTTGCGATGCCACTTTTGTTGGTGCCACCGACACCTTACCATAGAGGGGCCGAACACCGAACAAAGGGTTGTCCTGCAGCTTTTAAGTTGTCAGAACACACACTCATTCACTCATCCCCTAAGCCCCTCAGTAACCGAGTCAATCAGTTGCTTAAGTTTAGGGCAAGAACACCGGCGCGCCCTCCAGGCGTGCCTCAGTTTCCCCAGGCTGGTCCTGGGTCCGCCTCTCACCGCCCCCCCCCCACGCCACCCCCCAACACGCCGGTCCTCAGCCGGAGTTGATCCCGGCAGCCCCGCTCGCCCGGCCCCGCATGCCGGTCCTCCCGCCTTACCTCCGCCAGGTAGAGGTTGAGGAGACAGAGCGTGGAGAACTGGAGACAGGAGGGGAAGCAGTAGAGCAGCCAGTGGGGGAAGAAGTGCAGGTGAGCGGGCGGCCGGAGCAGGGGCAGGGAGCCGCTGAGCGAGAAGGCGGCGGAGAAGAGGGTGGTCCTGAGCGCTGCCCACAGGAGACAGAGGAAGAGGCAGAGGGTCTGGTAACTCAGCCGCCGCTCGCGGTACAGGAGCAGCCGCCACAGCTGCAGGTAGGCAAAGGCGAAGAGTGCGGCGTAGAGCAGGGCGTGCAGGACGCTCAGCGCCAACTGCACCGAGCCCGGCACCGCGGCGCCTGAGGCGGCAGCGACGGCGCCTTCGCCTCCGCCGCTCTCGCCCGGCGTCGAGGGCTCGCGGCCGGCCGCGGGGGCGGCGGCGGCCGCCGGACCCGGTACGGACACCCTCATGAGGGGGCTGGGGGACGGGCGAGGGAGCGCGGGAAGGAGGGGGCAGGACTCGGAGCCGCCGTCGAGGGGGAGAAGGATNATAAAAATAGTTTTGCTAAGCAAAATTCTGTAATATACTAAAGTGATTTCATTAGAATTTTACCTAAAGTAATCAAAATTAAATTTTATCTAATTTTTTAAAACCAAGATAATCTAAGAGAATCTTAGCAGTCATAAAATAGGCAATCTTTTAGGCAGAAAAAATAAAGATCCAAGAAAGCACACAAATAATTTACCTCAAATGTTAACAAAAATTGAGTTAACCTCCAATTAGATGGCCAAAAAATGTCTAGATTTTGGCCTTTTCAAGATTGTCATGTAATAATATGTTTACCATTGTTCTATGAGGTAAAAATATGATAAAGTTAGTTCTTATATTTCAAGGCATTTCATTTTACTGATAGTAAGTATACTGATAGTATACTCCAAAGATAGTATACTAGCAACTCTCATTTTAAGTCCTTTTACTTGCTCCAATGGTAGATAGCATCCATTTTATCAGATATAGTAGCTCCCCTTGTCTGCAGTTTCAGTTACCTGTGTTCAACTGGGGTCAGAAAATATTAAATGGAAAACTCCATAAATAAAAAATTCATAAGTTTTAAATTGTGCACCATTCGGGGTAGCATGATGAATTCTCACACCATTCTGCTCTGTCTTGCCTGAGATGTGAATCCCAGGGATGTGAATCCCTTTGTCCAGCGTATCCACACTGTATTCCCTACCTGCCTGCTAGTCACTTAGTAGCTGTCTTAATTATCTGATTGACTGTGGTGGTATAACAGTATCTGTGTTCAAGTAACTCTTATTTTACTTAATAATGGCCCAAAGCACAAGAGTTGTGATGCTGGCAATTTGGATACACCCAAGAGAAGCCATGAAGTGCATCCTTTAAATGAAAAGGTATGTAGGTATGGGGAAAAAACAGTGTATATATGGAGTTCAGTACTATCCACCATTTCAGGCATTTACTAGGAGGGAGGGGGTCTTAGAATGTATACCCTGTGGATAACAGGGGACCACTGTAATCTGTTTTAAAGACTGAAGTCTTCTGTGCTAAAAGTATAGGAGTATGAACCATTTTCTGGTAAGGTACATGCCCTATTGATCATGCCAAAAAAGGTTCAATAGGTGTTAAAATTAGTAAATAGGCTTTTTTACCCCCAACTATCTTATTCCTGGAAGTTATGTTGACCAGTCTATTTCTGCAAGGGCTACTTCTCCTTATCTCAATTCTATTCAAGTGTAGTAAACAAAAGAGTGTGTTAGACAGTCTTAACTTCTTGAAAATTTAAAGGATTTGAGAAGAACCACCAAAATGTGTTTAAAGTGGTAATGGTTGTTATACTAACTTTATTTTTATATTGCTCCAGGGTTCTTTGAGTCCTTAAAAATTTAGATTTTTTTTAAGTGAGAAATGCATACAACAAATGTTTTAAAGAGATCAAAAGTAAAATGAAATTGGTATTTAATATGACAGAAAAGACAGAGTGATTTGGTAATCAAGAAGGACACCTATTCAAAACAGACATAGGGTCTTTTGTTTAAAAAAATCAAATAGTTTTGTACTTGTCACCACATAGACTTTCCCTATTACTTTGCTCACTGGGAACACAAAGAACTCACTGGGGAAACTTCATTAATTCAGAATGATCAATGGAAAGTATACCA